CTTACGCCACGGAGACTTGGACTCTACGAAAGCAGGATGAGCATGCGGTTGGCGTTATTCAACGCGCCATCGAAAGGGCGATGCTCGGAGTTTCCCGCTACACGCAAGTGAGAGAGGGAATCCGGAGCTCCGCACTCCGCCGACGATCGAAGATCAGAGACGCCGCATTTGCCAAGGTTTCGAAGATCAGGTGGGCCGGGCACGTCATGCGCTTTAGGACCACCGCTGGATCAGAGCGATCACCGACTGGATTCCACGGGATGTCAAGCGAACACCTGGAAGAAGTCAGTGTGAACAACGCCTGCGCTGGCCAGACTTCTTCGTAAAAGCTCTGAACGAATGGTATGAAGTTCATCGTGTCCCTCGAGCTGAGAGAGTTCATTGGGCAACTCTTGCACGTTGCAGGGACGAATGGAGACGTTACTGGCGCCCGCTCGAGGAACTCGATGATCAACGGGAGCACAGGTGATACAGGTGATACAGCATTATTGGATGAATACCATCGTAGTACTTGGCCACTGAGGGAGGGGCCCATTTTGGACTTGAAAGGACTGTTCTCGTGTCACAGAAGTATTCTTTCCGATTTATGATTTCTCTCGTTTTATGCGCTATACTGGAACCAGCCAGTGCGAATAGTGTGGAAATTTAGAAAATTGTCGGGAGTTTTTTTTTTGCATTGGAGATCATTATAACATCTTTTTTCGAGATCCAAGCTTTTTCATTTCAACTGCGGAAACATTCCCTCTTGGGGCGTTCGAGAAATTGATGACAAATGCACGCCATTGCATGGAAGTGACAGGTTACTGACGATTAAGCTGAAGTTTCAGTTTTGAACGTGACACGATAGACAACCTCAATTGATAGTCAGTCAGCTGTTACTGGTACATTAGGAGTTGTTCCCTTTCTGAGTTTTTGGGGGAGCGAGCATCTAAAGGACTTCTTTTACAAAACTGTGAGGTGAATAATATTGTCCGAGCGTTGTAGGGAATGATCTCCGGAATGGGTATACCATCTTCTTTGATTCTGATTATATTGCTATGCCACTGAGGGTTTGTAGCGCACATCTCTATTCTACGCCTAAACGTTTCGACTTGGTCGTCTTCTTCAGAGGCCTAAACGCGTTTCGAGGTTAGGAAATGAACACTACCTTACTAAGCGCCCAACCAACCCTAGCAGTTCCGATGGCGTGTTCGGAACTCAACCCAAAGGCCCCACAACACGAATAGTGCACTCACCAAGCTTCCACCATATATCCGCAATCACATGCGGCGGTTAGTAGTTAGTAGAGAGTGAGACTTACTATAGCATCTCCTGGCACGTCTAGAAGTGAGGAGACGCACGTAGCACTGCTACTTAGAGCTCGCAATACGGTATGTATGGCAGAAGGTAATTGGTCACTGAAGGACCGTCTCCTGCGCCAATATCGTACACTTGATTTCAAAGTTGTTGCCATCATGCTCCTCAGATTTATGCCTTCCAAGCGCTGTCGTGAGCCTATCACGTCTCATACCAGCTCTTCGATATGTGTGCGTCCACACGCACATTCTATTTGGTAGATCACACCCGATTTAACGCAATCACCGAGTCTGCCATGTGGACAAATAACACAATCTCTAGATATGCACTGTTTATCGTATAGCCTGTTTCGAACCAGTTGCTGCTTGATGTTGCAGCTGGGGATGTTAACCAACTGAACAACATCTTGCAACTGTGCTCTAACAATGCTTCGTTGTATTGCAGTGCTTATCGTATCGGAGATAAAAGGAAGGCATAGTAGTAGTTTGTTTGGAAGCGGACCTTCTCGCATATTAGAGCGCTCTCCTCCGAAGCGTTGTGGTACCGTATCACCGTTCATAGCAGCTATCTCACAAGCTAGGCGACGCGATTCTTGACGTTCAGTTTCGGCTGGTCAAGCGTGGAGTATGGACAGATAATATCGATATGCGCAAAAAAGGCCTCAAGGAATTTTTAAAGGAGCTTTCAAGATACCGACAGCAATCGACGTCGCGCTCACTCAATCACGTGGAAGGAGGAGAGAGCTTTAGAATTAAGCGTGGGGGCATATTCGGGCGAGGGGCAGATAGTAGACACATCTTGTGCGTGATGACAATACGCCTTGCTGTGACCGTTCTTCTCGGTGGCATAAACTTTTCATCATTAATATAAATTTTAATCAAGAAAAAGCGCCATTGCTTATGGCTCAGCCCAATTTTTTGAATTCTTATGTTGTTATAGCGTAATAGTGCCGATTGGGCTATATTGACTAGATTATTAAACATCAATCAATTCATTCAAAACCTATCGGGCTCAGTTGTCATTTGATCACCATTATTATTAGTGAATTTGTTTTTTCAGCAGCCTTTTCCCGCATGTCTCACTCTCCCTCAACGGATGACTCGCAGCACTCACCTTTTGACGAAACAGATCACAGGAAACTTAGTGCACCGGCCGCCTTGGTTAAGGGAAAATTCCAACTGGTTGTGCAGGTGACATTTTGATTTTCGTGAAGCGTGAACGTTAGGTCGCTACACCACTACCCAGCTTTGTATCGAACAACTTATCGGCCAATGAAGTGGCTGGCTCAGGTTACGGGTGGTTAACCGCTCCAGACACCCCTGAGCCCTATCATGCAGTCGATTCTGTTATTCGAGGTATGTTTGCCTTAGGTGAGCTCGGGCAAGCTTGAAAACGGTGGAGTTGACAGCGAAAACGAATTGAATACGTGGAGGCACTTCGGCGGATATGTATAGTCTGGTTCGCTGCGGACGATGGGGCCTGTCTACGCGGCTGCGTTTGATGCGACGTCAACCCGTTTTTTTTTCTTTTTTTCTCTTCGGCAAGCGGCAGGACTGTACCACTCGTCGTCCACCAGCTTTTCACTCTCCCGCTGAAACAACTGGTGGAAAATAGACTTGGCGGCGTGCCAAACGCAGCCGCGCTGGGACGCCCATCGTACGCGGCGAACCAGGCTGTACGTAGGATACATGTGTTTTCGTTTGTCTAGAGCCCATTTTGTGTTCTAGCCTACCCGAGCTCATTTTCTACTTGCAGAGTCATAATTTGCTTGAATAATTGAAAATTCAGCCCAACAAGTTGGACTCGATATAGTGAAGGAGCGAATACAGTTTACAAAGCAACAAATTGAAAAATGCCGTCAAGATCAACAAATGATCGCAGACTTTGTGGCAGAGACTTTCCTTGATGAGCTAAATGCGGTTAGTTTTTGAGCCTCAAACGCACGCAGGGTCTTGCGGTACTGTTGCTGGACGCTGATTGTGTGTCTCTATAGAAGGATTTGATATTTAGATGCAGAATGAATCGAGCTTCGAAGATCTTGTAGAAGATGTCGAACGTCTTCAGAAAGAGGTGGATGGACTTCGAAAGTCGTCTCCAAGATCAGTACCACCACCGAGTTAGTGATCCTGTTCTTTTCAACGGAATACCTTTGTTTCAAGTTGTATTGGAAGTAAAGTGGAAGTTGTATTGTTTGAGGACCTGATCCCCCG